TGAAAATTTTCAAAGAACAATTAGTCAAGTATTTGATGGCCTTACAGGTGTACACGCGTGCATAGATGATATTTTGATGTGGGGAGCAAACAAACAGGTGCATGATCGCAGACTGATTGCTTTCTTGAAAGCAGCCGAAAAAGCTCGTTTAACGTTCAACGCTAGAAAACGCAGGTTTGGTGTTACGGAAACTCATTTTCTTGGCAAAGTCAACATCGGACGTGAAGGCATTTTGCCAGACCCAAAACTTGTGAAAAGCTTGCTTGAAATGCCAGAGCCAAAGAACAAAAATGATGTTCAGCGCATGCTCGGTGTGCTCAACTACTTCGCCAAGTATGCGCCGCGCCTTTCTGAGCGAACTGCGCTTCTCCGGGCGCTTATAAAAGCGCACTAAGCATTTGAGTGGACTGAAAACCACTGAAGAGAAAGACGTATCGCACAGGCTCTAACCACGAAACCTGTCCTCGGTATCTTTGATCCTCAAAGACAGTCCAAAATAACTTGCGATTCATCAAAAGACGGCATGAGTGCAGCACTCTTGCAGGGCTACGATGGTGATCTGGCGCCCAGTGGCATACGCTTCCCGTGCTCTAACGCAAGCTGAGCAGCACTATGCACAGATTGAGAAGGATACGCTCAGCATATCGTTCGGCTGTGACAAGTTTCACCACTTCGTGTACAGGCACAAAGTTTTGATTGAGACTGACCATAAACCGCTCTTATCTATTGCTGCGAAGGGTATCTGCTGCGAAGGGTATCCCCGCCTTCAGAGATTTTTTCTAAGGCTTCTGAAATATGATTTCTCATTGCAGTTTGTACCAGGCAAACATCTCGTCTTTGCCGACATGCTGTCAAGATCATGCCCGGCTAGTTCCGAGGACAGCGCTGGAGCCATGGGTGACGTGGAGGTGCACGCAGTGCAAGTTCTGGGCTATTTGGTCACAGATGCGACGCGACGGAATCTGGAGAAGAAACTGCGAATGATGGTTACCTGAGCACTGTCATCTCAGCTTGTCAAGCTGGTGAGAACCTGGCAGGGTGAACAGAAGCCGTTTTTGTCAAAGCTTTCTGTCGTGAAAGGCGTATTGCTAAAAAGAACGAAAGTGGTCATACCAAAACGCATGCGATTTGAAATTCTTGGACCTATTCATGCCGGCTTTGGGTAGTGATGCAGGTTGTTTCTCGGTTGGTCATAGTTCGTTGTGATGCTTTTTTTAGGTGAAGAGAAACGCTCCATTACCTACGGGACGCTAATACCCACAGCACAGCTTTGTGCTCTCTTATAGTAGAGTACCAAGTTCTCTAAATCGTTAACAACTTTTTCTAAACACATAGTTTATTTCCACTTTGATTATCAGTGACAAAAGGTCCAAGTTAAACCACAGACAGTCATGAAGTGACAAAATGCCCAAATTTTCTAGATAGACACTTGAGCTGAAACCAAACGTCAGCACCTCTCGTAGATCTACGAGCAGGTCGTAATTGGCGTAGGCCTTCCATCACTTGGTGGTTTTGTTGCAGCTGGCGTTGCCTTTCCCGTTGGATATGTAGTCTACTCTCGTTGTACGTACACGGGCTCTTCGGATCACCACCATCCCTTCGCAAGAACTCGCTGGGCCAATGGTTGCCTCCTAGGTGTACAAAGGTATCTATGACATTTCAGTGGAACACTTGTTTTACTTAGTGTTGCTCTGCTGCCTTTTTTGTGGATCAGTAGTGAGAAGTGAGATTTAACAAATTTCTGTAGCAAAGTTGTGTGGAAAACTGTTGCGTTATTGATTATTAGTCCACCAATTTGTTTGGCCAGACAAAGACTTGTAATTTGGATGACCTGCGAGGCTGCGAGTCGAACACATGCCATCTCGGTTTGCGATAATCGGAGCTGGGCGCTTCACTCACTATGATACCGACGCTCGTCCGTGAGTGATTAAAATGCGCTTTCCCACTTCCTTCTTTTCAATGTAAACCCTGGTTCTGGTTGTGCGGTGTCGCCGTCTTGGAGAGAGGAAGCACGGCATGTTTACAATAGCGAGTGCCAATAGGATGGGCTTCGGTAGTCTCTCTTTCCATTCCTCTTTTTCAATTGCATTTAGAGCGCGTGTTTACTAGCAGTGATAGACAAGCTTGCGGGCTGTGTGATGTCCTCGCGCTTATTCAGTTCAAGCTACAAGCTCTGCCTCTCAGTCATGAAGCCCCGCAGGGGCGTTTGCGCTAGCTCAAGTTTGGTGTGTTGTGACAATACGGAACCAGGTTAACGGAGTGGTTTCGGTCTCTTCCCACGCCTAGCCATGCGCGGCTGAGCCACGTACAGGGAAAAAGATATCCTTAGCATTGAGCCAACGTCTGGTGATTGGCCATTTGAGGCGCCGAGGCAACATACCTTCTTGGTCCTCGCTTCACGTAGACGGCACCCATGGGCTCACCCATTGAGAAAAAATCACCAGTCACATTTTCCTGCCTCGGTCTCTCCTTATGTCTTCGTTTTCCTCTCTTTATCATTCTTTTTGTCTTCTACTTTTTACACTTACTTATAGTTTTTTCTGGCGGCAAGAGTAAACCTTATGTAGTTGCTCAACCTTGGACACTTATATTTGGTTATAGTGGTGGTGTATAGCTGACAATCTCTGGTATTATACCTTATAGTGTTCCCTTGTTGGGATCGGTGGTGGGTGGACACCATCACACCACACTTAAACATTTCTATGGCAAACTCCTTTCCCGCAATACATGATTGCCGCTTGACAAGGTGGCGCACCAACGAGAATTTCCAGTTTGCGTTGACTAAAGAATCGTTTCCGAAATACCGCGTAATACAACATGAATTCAACCTGTCAAGCTCACCGTTACTTGTGTCAAAATCTGTCACACGGACGATCGCCCAAGGTTACAAAGTGACTAAGAAGGAAATGGCCGTCTTTTTCTGGAAGTTCGAGACAAGCTCTAGTACTAGAGACTGTCAAAACTTGTAGCTTTTAAGAATATAACAGTGTCAGTAGGGCCACATAAATCCATGAATGTACAGTGCAAGACATCATCTCTGATGAGAACCTTCTCAAACTCAGTGAAAGTGAACTCCTCAATGCATGGCAGGCCACAACGTCTTAAAGGTACAAAGAATTATGATTAGGCACAATGACAAAATTACAATGAATCGCATACTTATAACATTTGAAACTGTCATAAAGTAGTGGGTCATACATAGCCTGGCAGTCACAGCCTCCCTCACAACCAACAACCTTATTGAATCGATCAAAACCAGCTGCTGCAACTTTCGTGTGAGACCATATTAGCGCTTTTGACATGGGTCAGAAAGCTACAGAGGGCGCGCATCGTGTGCCAAATGTGCATCCAAAGAACACTTTTCTGACGACTGCACCTCTGCAATCCTGTTGGGTGCGCTGCCGAGGGGACCACCTCGCATACTCAAGATGCATCGATGAGAGCTGTGGCTTGGCGAAGTTGAGGGAGGCGAGAAAATTGTCGACAGATTTCACTATGAAGGAGCAAAATCGTCCACATAGGGAACAGACACCTTGGGTTTGGGATGAAACACTGAAAGCGCCTGTTTTTCAAAGCCCTCCAAGGTGAGGGTTGCCACCATGGCCCCCATAGTCATTCCAATGGTTTCCTTTTGGAAGGCGTCGTTAAAAGAGAAGTAATTCAATGCTAAAGAAGCCGTACTCCGACAGCCAGATTAGTGGCGTCCTATCGTTCAGGGTGAAGTCGTTTTCGAGCGGCCGGTACGTCACAGACAGTGCGAGGGCAACGAGTGGGTGGGCGAAAAGGGAAACCACATCGAGGGACATTTGTTACGTTTGGTTTACTGCTAGGTTTATATTTAACCTTGAAACTGCGGGAAAATATAAATTGTGGTGTTGCCATGGGCCCTATATTTCAGCGGGTCTAGGTGGAACAAGTGAATAGTAAAGATAAAAAGTACCACTTTATTATGGTTTAGCCCAGACGCCGAAGTTACCCCACGCCTATCGGCTACTCCCACCTGGGGACGGCAGGTCCAGGCTAACGACCCTGTCGCGGGTGCTCTGGACGGACAGAATTTGCTCTTGAAGGTTTGAGCTGAATATAAGTGCATCCCACTCGGCCTTGTTGTAGGCCGGGCCGAGCGACACGTCCTCCCAGAACATGTGTACTAATCTAGTTGTCGGCCCGCAAACGGTGCCCTTCGCATGAGGAAGCTTCTGCTGATAAATTTGATTCTTGCAAGCAATGGGTGCAAATGAGTTCAAGGTATATGCAACGAGGCTGTCTATGTTCAATTGGTTTCGAAATCGGCTCATTCTTACTGGTTAGCTCTCTCACTGATTTTGGCAGAATTGTTAGTTTACTACCATTTATTTTAGCCTTTATAGACTTTTTATTCCATCGCGTCTATTGGAACACATGAAATAAAGCTGCGCATAACTAGCTTACAACACATTTTCTTACTTTCCTTCAGGCTGACCAGCCATTTCGCCTTTGTTTATGTTAGGCTGAGTGAGGTGCTGTTCCATGTCAGTGGCACTCATCACAATTTCACAAGGATTATACGCCAGACGTAATAGTATTTAAATAAGGGCCGTATATTATTTCTCTCGACATCCTTTGTGACAGACGAAATTCGCTCAAGCAAACACGTACAGGTGGTGAGATATCACTCCTGTAAGCTGCTGCAACCTCTGGCGAAGTAACCCGAACAAGCCTCGTTTGATATGTCGTCCAACGTCACGCTCGCGTTGGGTATTGCTATTCATTTCTTTTTATCTTGCTCAGCCATCATGTGCTCTCGTGAAGAAAATATTCAGTTCCACGCCACATGTTTCCTGTATGTGGCATCTGGCTCCCAGCCAGCGTCCTGATCCAGTGGTGCGTACAAGTACTTACCCTATGTCACCGGCTTTGTGCAACATGCGGTAAAGATCTAGTATGCTGGCGGTTGGCAAATATGCGATATATACGAGCTGAAAAATAATTACAAAACAACGCTGCTCTACTTCGCGAGCATGTCTTTTCAGGTGCACTCCTATGAAGTTTCCTGCTATGACTCCATGAAATGTTCATGCTCCGCAAACCGTATAGAACTGACGCAGGAATGGTGGCTTGTTGCGCGCCGGATTTGCTGAATTTATGAAGGCTCCGGAAGATTACGTCACCTTTCGTCGACGTTACATTTTTTATAAAGCGACCAGCAGGCCTCCTCAAGAGAGACATTAGCGAAAAAGGCACGTTGACAAAACAATTACTAAATGCTTCGCATTCATAGCTTTCCTATAAAACGGTAAGACTTCATTTTTCTTTAGTTTTTAGAGAGATGAGTTCAACAGAGTGATCAGTGATCAAAATTATTTTTGGCACGTGCCTCCTACGCAAAGCAAGAGAGAACATCAGGTGATTCTTGTTGAATGCTCATCAACTATCTGAAAACCAGTGCAGTGTCTTTCACCGTAAATAAACGATATGGTTAGACAGCCTCTATATTTAAAAGTACCGTTTCATTGAAGGATATAATATTGCTGACGTTTTATACCATGAGATTTGAATGCGTAACGCACTATAGATTTGGCAGTTCTTCATTTATACCTTCGTAAAGGATGGGCATAATGTAAGTGTAGCAATAAAGCCTGTTCCATTTATAATTGGTAGGCTTGGGCTCTTTTTTTTTTCGCCGAGTCAGATCTAGTATTTTGCAGTCAAGTAGAGAGTTTTTTTTTTGAGTGGAAGGGGGAGTCTTTACTGCATTTCTGAAGCTAATATAGTAAGTCTCAATATTAGCGCGTTTCTCAATGACTTGCAGTAGTGGAGTATAGCAGTCAAACTTACGTTGGTAGAATGGATAAGTCACGTCAATTATGCACAGGAAAACGCTTACTCAAATGAATGTATAAGTACAATATAAAGAGGTAAATGAGTGAATTCTTTTACAGGTGTGCATTGTTTCACTGTATAAAATCTTATTGATTTCTGAAACTCCGTGTAGTGCTTCAGCTACATATTTATTTCAAAGAAAACACTTAGAAAATGGCAAAGTTGATAAATTCGCTCTTCTTTTGAACTACTTTGCGAAAGTCGTGCCGCTCGTTGGGGCTCAGAAGATGGTTATTTACTTGATAGGTCGTCACCATTTTGTAATGCTGGAAGCGACGTTCTAAAAAAATTGTCTTGCACGCACGTCTTAGAAGACTTCCTCAATCCAATTCATTAATCACGTTTGCTATATTCTGCCGAGGCAGATTGTCTCACTTATGAAAATATGTGCTTCTTTGTATAGATCCCTCTGATTATGCTACTGAAAATGCGCATCCTGGCGATGGCTGTCGTCGCACTTGGTAAGAATGCTTGCCCTCTAGATTTGGCCCTTATTGACAAGGAAGAAATTATGCATACCCTTCAGTACTTCCTTCATATACGATCTGCATTTTTGTGCCTGTGGATAATGTGCAACACCTAATTGCGTATCCTGTCATTTTTGCTTACCAGCTTCGTTTGGGTTGCATGTAGTGTCAAACCTGCACAGCGTATCTTGCATTCTGGCGCCTAATAAGCATACTGGAAAGACGCAGTGAAATTAAGTCTGTGAGGCTGAACTGCAACTTATTTGGAGAAAAAAAATGAGTGCTGCCTGTGATCAATTGTAGCAGGCTTTGCATGAAGAAATTATCTTCCATGTATGCCAAAACAATTAAGATGAGGATATGGCTAGATTATTTTGTGATGTCATGAGTATTTATTGCCACAGAAGTTCCACACTCAGATTTCATTTCATTGGGCAAAGTTGGAAGCCATCGGCAGAAATATTTATACTTGTGATTATGGCTAGGAATAGACAGATTGATTGAAAAATCGATTTTAATGTAGCAATTCACTAGCATAGCTAATAAAACACTAGATTCAGTATAAAAGTAGAAAAAAAATTTAAAAAACGGCAGATCGCACTTATAGGGGGAATTGATAATATGCGAAGCACGAATGCCGGAGGATATGTCACTATAAAATTAGCACAATGGTACGAGGTGGACGGACGTAGCACATGGTAAACACAAGTAGAAATGTTATACGCACTCACGTATCTACGTAAGATGCAAGTGTGTAGTTTAGAGTCGCGTAACGGCGGCACGAGTAATGTTTGCAATACCAGCGCCAGCAGTGGTAGGCATGTAAATGATGCCGTATACATGAGTTCTGTGTCATGATTATCCTGTTTGCGCCTGATGTTTGTGTTGTCGTCCATTCAGTGACATAATAACAAACTTGTTACATGTGAAGTGAGCAAAATGACGGTGACCACGCTATGACCTTAAAATGTAGTCGTGTTTTACATGACACGCATGTCATGATTATTAAGTTTGGACGTGTTCCTCCGTCGTCCATTTACGCCACGTAATACCAAATTTGGTATATGTGGAGCTAGCTAAACGACCGCGAACGTATCATAAGCGTGGTATTTAGTAATATTCGTACATAACACGCATATCATGGCTATCATGTTTGCACAAGTCGTATACCTTTGTCATCCATTCACGTCACTTAACACCAAATTTTGCATATGGGAAGCTAGCGAAAGGGCCGCAAGCGTATCATGAGCGTAGCATGTCGTAGCGTTTAACATGACACACATATAATGATTATTGTATTCGCACCAGTAATGCACCTTTGTCATCCATTCTATTCGCGTCTCCAAATAGCAAATTTTGGATACGTGAGGCTAGCGAAACGACCACGAGTGCACCATGAGTGTGGCGTGTGGTCATTTGTTTACATGACACCTTCGTCGTCCATTCACGTTCCGTAATACCAAGTTTTGTATATCTTAAGCTAGCAAAACGGCCGTGAGCTTATCATGAGCGTGGTATATTGTCAATTCGTTACATGACACGCGAATCATGATTAGCATGTTTACACCATTCATATAACTTCGCCATTCATTCACGTCACGTGACACCAAATTTGGTATATATGAGGTTAGCAAATGGCCGCGAGCGCATCATGGACGTGGTATGTTGTGATGTTGTTACATGACACGCATCTCATGATTACCATGTTTGCACCAGCCACATACCTTTGTCGTTCGTTCATGTCACGTAACACCAACATTGGTATATATGAAGCTAGCAAAACGGCCGCGAGCACATCATGAGGGTAGCATGTAGTCATGTTGTTAGATGACACGTGTCTCAGGATTATCGTACTTGCACCAGCCACATACCTTCGTCGTTCGTTCACGTCACGCAACACCAACATTGGTATATATGAAGCTAGCAAAACGGCCGCGAGCACATCATGAGGGTAGCATGTAGTCATGTTGTTAGATGACACGTGTCTCAGGATTATCGTACTTGCACCAGCCACATACCTTCGTCGTTCATTCACGTCACGTAACACCAACATTGGTATATATGAAGCTAGCAAAACGGCCGTGAGCACATCATGAGGGTGGCATGTAGTCATGTTGTTACATGACACGCATGTCGTAACTTTCATGTTAGGGTCTGTCGCTTGTGTTCGCCGTGGAGTCATGTCATACCATACCAGTTTTGCAACAAGCCATGTGAACAAAACCCCCGAAAGAGCAGCAAGACCCTGAAATATAAATCATGACATTCATGACATACACGTCATGATTTTCGTGTAATGACTAGTCACGTATGCTCATCATGCAGTCATGTTATGCCATACCAATTTCGGTATCGGTACCATTATCGAAACGGCCAGGAGAGCTAAAAGTCGTAGGTGGCTAAACAGACAGACAGACAGACAGACAGACAGACAGACAGACAGACAGACAGACAGACAGACAGACAGACAGACAGACAGACAGACAGACAGATAGATAGATAGATAGATAGACAGATAGATAGATAGATAGATAGATAGATAGATAGATAGATAGATAGATAGATAGATAGATAGATAGATGCGCTTAAGGTCACCGACGTTCGCTAAAAATGCTTCACATTTAATAAAAATGTAATGAAGGAAATTAGCACTGCCAAACGAATTTGTCCTTTACCCCTGACCACGATGAAGTTTTCATAAAACAGAGATCAATTCAATCAGACAAATGACATGGTAGTTTCGCATTGACTGCATGAGTGGCGTCTCGCGCTATCTCAGCCGTTCCGGTGCACGTGGTTATGACACGAGCTAACGAGCAAGCTGGCGGGTACAAAGGGACGTGCGTGTGCAGTGAGCGCTTTCGAGTTCATCAAGCAGCCACCGGAAGAGACTATATTGTATTTCGCCACGTGTGCGCGTGGTATTTAATATTTTGACACCACTGTACAAGAAATGAACTGCAAAAAAAGTAAAAGCACTGCGCAAGGTTGTGACGAAGTGATTTATTATCCGCCATTCGTCACTGTCTAACCACGCGCAAATAAGCCATTTTCTGTAACTCAAAGGTGGCACTGTAGTCTCTACAATCGATCTTACGCCGCGGATCACGCGAGCAGCGCGTGTCACGCGAACAGATTGCGTGAACAGCTGAACTTATAAGCCACGCAACTGAGAAAAAAAAAACGAAACTTCAAATCATTTTTTCAGTGGTTATGGAGTGACTCTGGAGTCATTGGTGTTGAATGGGCTGATTAGGCTGCCCGCTCAGTTTACTAAGAAAGCCGTGAACAACAACTCCCCCTTTATAAAAGGGACACTGCATAGAGGCTCCGCATGCTTGCTTGTCTACACGCCACGTCGCAAACGGGATCAGCCACACTTCGATCGTGTCCGAGTGCGTTCACTACTCTACAAGTTTCATCGGAGTTTCGCCGAATAGACGCCACTTTTTAACGCGATAGCATTAGAGAGCTCGTGTCACAGCAATTCCGCCGTCGGCGTCAGCACCGTTGGTTGTGATCGAAAAATTGTCCGTGAGCGAAACATCGAGAAAGAAGCAAATAAATTAATAAATGAAATTTTCGGTCTAATTGAGGATCAAACCCGGGCCGTTCACGTGGCAGGCAGGTGTCCTACCACAAAGCCACAGTGCTACTTGCTGTTGGTTTGGGAAAAACACCATGCCATGTAGTGCAAAGAGTCTCTTTCACAGATTTTGTTCAAATGGTGTCATGATGAAAACAAGCCCAATCGGCAATTTGTAGGCGCATTTGGCAGGTCATCAAACTACATAAAAATGCCGGAATAGTGCAGCCCTAGCCACTAAGGAAGCACAGGAACTTCCAAACAGCTCTAAAAATGAACAGCTATGTCTATCTAGCGGAAAACATATAGTGCATTTCCAGAGGTGTTGATCAAACAAACAGCAAACGCCAGATAATGTGCTGACATCTGTAAGGCATTATGAGACTCTTTATGGCCTCTGAGATGGCGAGCGCGTGGCGTGTATCTTGTGGGCCATGCGACCATTGCTTTAGATCAAAAACCTATATGTACCATTCGCGTGCGCAGGACCATCTGCAAGACAATGTGAAAAACGAGTCTCGACTACAGCAGAGCGCCGATATAGCAGAGGGAAGTGGCCACACTGCAGTCTTGCTCATCACTTAGTGCCGGCGAAACATTCATGTCAAGTAGTGTCCCACAACTAATGAGCCAGATTGATGCTAACGTTCAAGCATGAGGAGCTGGGAGCACTCTCCACACTGCTTTATCTGCGGCACTTCATGCAGCATCTGTGTCAACTTGTGCTCGACGACGAGGGCCACGCATGACCGAGGTGCAAAAGGCAGGCAGCAAAGCACGGCATACTATAGATACGTCGCGCTAGCGCACGTTTCTCTCTCTGTGTGAGTAACAAAACATATTAATAGGTATGCACTTAGCAGTTTAAGGGCGCACTAGGGGCTGGATTTCGCTATCACGTTCAACTCTTGAAGGCGAAGCTCAAGGGTCCCCCAATTTTCTTGCGTAGGCTTTGGTTGGGCGTAGCGTTTACCAATACCCAAGCTTTTAAATTCGAAGCATTTCTTAGCGAACTTCGGTGACTTTGAGCATCTATCTATCTATCTATCTATCTATCTATCTATCTATCTATCTATCTATCTATCTATCTATCTATCTATCTATCTATCTATCTATCTATCTATCTATCTATCTATCTATCTATCTATCTATCTATCTATCTATCTATCTATCTATCTATCTATCTATCTATCTATCTATCTATCTATCTATCTATCTATCTATCTATCTATCTATCTATCTATCTATCTATCTATCTATCTATCTATCTATCTATCTATCTATCTATCTATCTATCTATCTATCTATCTATCTATCTATCTATCTATCTATCTATCTATCTATCTATCTATCTATCTATCTATCTATATATCTATCTATCTACCTATCTATCTATCTACTTACGTTTGGGTGCTCTCGTGGTCGCCACCTTAACTTGGCATGACGTGAACCAAAATTAGCATGGGAGAGTAAGATAGGTTGATTAATATGACGTGTCGTCAAGACATAATTAATGTCACAATCTCGTCGCGTACGTCGTCAAACATTTCCCGCCACACAGTGGAACATACCCATGGTTGGGTATGTGCCTCTGGTATGCGGGTATTTGCCGCATGTGATTGACACATAGTATTTACCCAGGAACGACGAGAACACACATGAGCAATTTTAACGCGCGAGCGTTAGGAAATACTCGGCAGTGGTAGCGTCGACCCGACGAACGCAAAGAATAAATGTCGGGGTCCCAGGTGGAAATAAATCCAAGAATTCTGCATGGCAATGAAGTATTTTACCACAGAGCCACGACAGGTCTCAGAACTACTTTTCAAACATCTGCAACTCTTCAAGATATGTCTGTGCGTGCAACATTTGTACATATACTTAGCGTCATAATGTGTCGCCATATAAAATAAATGCAACACGGTCACCTTCCCTCCGCATTCTTCACATAACGCCGATTCCGATGCAGGTATGTGAGATCTGCCGAATTTTTCGCGTTGGGATGGCTGATACCGTAGCCATGACCACTGTGATAATGAGGAGACAACCGGACATTACTTTTGCGACTGCCTATGTACAGAGATTATGCCCTTTCAACGCACTCATCGAGTTAGATGACTTATCTTTCTCGGAGGTAAAAAAAAGTTACACCATCGACATAATGCGAAATTGCAGTAGAAGGCGCTCTAAGAGCAGCTGCGATGTTTGCGATTAACCGCTTTTCTGGACGACTTTAGTAGGAATATCTTTCCTGTGCATGTGGTTTTTTATTCTGCGTGTACACACACTATCTAATTTTTTTTTCCTTTTCTCTCTCTCCCTCTTTATCTTCACCCTCTTTCTCACCCTTTTTTTTAACTCTCCAGAGGTAGGTCACAAACTTGATGCTAGTATTTATTTATTTGTTATTTATTTACAATACCCTACGGAGCCCACGAAGGATAGTGCGTAAAGAGGGTGGTTCAGAATATATGTGAGAGATGTATTTAATGATAGGTGAATATTTATTACTACGGAAAATGCAATTCAACTGATGAACATATAGACGCAATACATACTAGAAAGTAAAGTACAATTTGGGATGTTCTGAAGGTGTAATACAAAAGATAATTTAATCGTCTAACTCGAAGCAGCGTTTTCTAGAATTTCTTAAAAAGGCAGAGGCTGTGGCGAGGGACAACCCACTATTTGTAGAAGGTGACTTTAACGCTCCCAGCAAGGCGTGGGGCTCCTGCTTTTTCTATGGAGGCGAAAATGCTGTAGATCCGTGTGCTCAGATTTGGGTGCACGTTAAAGAACCCCAGGTGGTCTTAATTTTCGGAGCCCTACACTCTGGCGTCTCTCATAGTCATATGGTGGTTTTGGGACGTAAAAACCCCTCATACCAATAAAGGCGTGGAGCTCCACATACGATACCGCGAAAGGCAGGCCGCTTTGCCAAGACACGACCAAGCTAAGCTACAGTACATTCACTGACCCGACGAACCCAACGAGGCTGAGAACATCGGCATGCCGATGCATCACGCCCGACCTCACGTTCTTCAGGCGTTCGGGGGATGTGGAGAAACAACATGGCCGATCTTGGCAGCGACCACATGATCGTTGAAATAGACGTACCGATACCGGGCCAGAAAGGCCGGAATTCGTGCTAGTTTCCATGGACGGACTACGAATAGTCTTGGTACAAAAGTGAGGCGCATCAGTCGAGGGACAATCCCATCAAAGACATCGGGGAGTGGATGCACTTACTCAACGCGGGCGTCAAACATGCAACTACGACGATAACGACCAATATTCTAACCGATAGAATTGACCGCCTTCTGGCGCTCCTAATCGAGACTAAGGTGTTAATCAGGAATCGCTGGAAAGGCCAGTAGCTCAACCACAAGCTCAGAAAGAAGGTTGCCGAGCTAATTAAGGCGATTGAGGAATATTGTCCCATCTAGTGTAAGCATAAATGGGATGAACATTGTAATTCAGTTGAGGGTCAGTTACACAACGAAAAAACGTGGAAGATTCTTCGACACCTCGCTGGTGCAAAGACGTGTACGTCATCCAACACTTCCCGACAAACTGTGGCACATACCCGCGGGTGGGCGTGTACCACTGGTATGCGGGTACATGCCACAGGTGATTGAGGCTTAGTGTCTACCCTGGACCGACAAGACCACACATGGGCAAATTAACGCGTGAGTGTTAAGAAAAACCTGACACCGGCAGCGCTGACCCGACGAATGCAAATAATAAATGTTAGGGTACAGCAGGAACGGAACCAAAACATTCTGCGTGGCAATCAGTCATTCTACCACAAACCCAGCCAGGTCTCGGAACTACTTTTAAAATCGACCCTAGTGTTCGCGAAGCACGAATTGTAGTTGCCGTGCTGGCTATCGAATTTTGTAAACAATACATATGGACCCCTACCATACAGCAGTGGCATCGGGTTAACGTCAATTGTGATGAGGTGCCATGCGTTGAAGTCGATTCATGTGTCAGTGTCCATGGCTACCATCTAAAATGCTCGTGAATTCAGCGCTTCATATCAGCTTACCACGTCTAGTGTTACTAATACTCATTTTCCTCTTCGCGTCATTGCACAAGTGAAAAAAAAACTGCAATTATAAACATCTGCAACTCTTCAGCATATGTATTTGCGTGCAACATTCCTGCATATATTTGGCCGAATTCTTTAACATATCGCTCAATAAGCAAACTACAACACGGTATCCTTCCTTTCACACACTTCACATAACGTCCATTCCCAAAATAGGTGGTATCCACCGAATTGTTTTTCTCTTCTTCCAGACAACCGAAAAGATCCACTTTAGCACCCTGCCTGTTCGCCTTTTGCAGTTTTGCCTGATTAAAATGACTCTGGCACCCGATATAGAGTTTATTTTAAATTGATTGTACCACGCTGGTCAACCAGCATTCGCTCGTGACGGATGTCACAACGTGACTGAGGGTGCATTTACACCTAAATATACCACGGGGTACATTTTACGCATTAATATTTGAGACGTTGATTAGCGAAAGTGAGGTGTAGTTCAGTGGAACAGTTCGTTTTCTTTGGCTAAAATATCTGTGTAGCATGTTATCCAGCTTACAACACACAAGCTACGCAAAGCCACTTTTCTGAGGGAATATTTCGTGAGTTACCGTTGGGGCGTTGTATTTCTTAACGTTTCGTCTCCGAAATTGAAATAGCACCTCGAAAGTGTGCTTTGACATGTGTAGTACATGCAATTTTTGTTCCTGTTTGAACACCATTCTACCTTGCATTTTCAGCTGTCTTGACCATGGCATCGGGAGGCAGCACACTTGAATGGCAAGGCACCGAGTCCGAATTCGGCAGAGAAGATCGCTCGTTGAGCCTGAGTTCATTTGGAGATACTGTGAAGAAGATCTGGAATAATTTGGTGCAAAATTTTATCAGCTTCATGCTTAGATTATTCAGTTTGCCAGTTTAACTTAAGAGAGCGAAATCTGCCTGCAGTACTAGACGTAATACTATCGATGGCGTATCAGACTGCATACTCCGTATATTGCAAGAAAAAAAAGAAGCTCATAGCTCATTTGGATATCTTCACATGTTAACTTCTTGGTGCTGATGCTGATAGCAGTTATTCGTAGCGAGAACATCACAAACATAATTGAAAGAGCCCTGACGCACTCCCACAACAAGCAGCGATTTTCAGCAAGAAATAAGTAGAGGGCCGATCGGATTTATGCATGCGTGAAAAATACACTGTACAAGAATATTTCTACAAAATATACACGACAAGTAGACGGTATTGAAGCCTGCTCCCAGCCGGCGGCCACCATTCTGCACGACGTGTGTGATTTCATGTGCTGGTCCGGACGAAGTGGAGCTGGCTTCTTCAGCTAATGTTTCACTCGCAGCAAATAGTTCAATTTATTGCAAATCTGAGCAAATCTGAAATCACTCGATTGCACGCGCAGCTGTCAGGGGAGCAAAATTGTTCGTCGGAAGTGCAGACGCACTTTCAGCAAGCAGTCTTTTTACGTCAGCATTGGCCGATTCTCAGGTGTCTCGCACCTTAATAAGACAACTGAACTATGAAGTGTTCACCCAAATCCGTAAAAACCTCTCAAGATTATTCGTGAAGGCACATGAGTTAACCCAGGCAACACCGATTACGATGGAAGCTTGGGCGTCGTGGTCCCTTTAGACGTTATAACGTTGTCTGCCTCTAAGATGGCAATTTGCGAACGTTGAAGACATGTTGTTTTGTTGTTTTGTTTTGAATGGTTTCATTGCTTTGATTACGGAAGTGTGAGAGTAAATCTCCGAAGTCCTTTTTCTGCGAATAAATAAGGTTGGACGCCTTCGACATTGTGCTGATCGATTACGAGCATATCTCACTGGCACACTCCCGTCTGCGGCCACGTTGGCATTCTTACTAGGAGACTGATACGAAAAAAAAAAAAACACCTGAAGCCTTCTTCACCTCACATAACATTAGATTGCTTCAGGAATTCGTCTGCTTTTAACCATTCGACGATGTTATTTGATGACACCATGATCACGTATAGGGAGGTGTAGAATCACCTAACGCATGTTCGATTATGTACTGTTTTGATGACGTCCCTTTAGGGCATCGTTACGTGTGCCTCCTGCTCCTTTAGCGTACACGTAGCTGAAAAATTGGCAGTTTTCAGACGCTTGTAACAAAGTAAGAAGGAAACCTGACTGCAATCTCGTACCACAGATGAGCCGCGAGGACAAGTAGATGTTGTGTAATAAATTATGTGAGCACATCTGTGTTTTTTGTTTTGTTTCAAGGATTCATGGGTAGAATTTAAGGAAAGTACCAACTACGCGATTGTAAGTAAAGTCGGCCAACCACTTAGCAGCACACTTTGTCGCTGCTATCACTCACGATAACGATTATGAAAGATGGGTGAGCGTTATGTTCAGTGTGCGAAGCTTCACACCAATTATCTAATTCACCCAGTGAAACGTTTTTGCCATGCAGTATTACGCTGCTAGCGTGGGCATTTGTTTTTTATGACGCCTGCATCAGCCCAGAGAACCAACACTGACGTCGCTGCAGTCGCGGCGAAGTGACGTCACGGCACGGACTCGCCTGCTCCGCCGCCGACGCTTGCCGACGGTGGCTTCTTTCCGAGCCCGCCGTGAAACCCCTCTTCAGCGATGCGGTGGTGATTTATTCTCATTTTCGAGTAGCAGATTACTAAAGGTACAAAGCAAATACACCTATTGATGTTAAAACTTACGTTGGCGGCAGAAAGTATGGATCCACTTTGAAGGTGCAGGACAGCGATACATTAATTGTTTTCACCGTGCACGTACTCGACGAAATCAATGCTAAAAATATTCAGGCTAAATGGGTCTCACTCTATTGTAACTTGGCATAGTTCACGTGATTAGGCATTTTTATGGAAATATTACAAATGCAGTTAGGACGTTTTCAGTTTACTCACAGCATTGCCATTTGCCGTGCAAGTTATGTCTCCATCTGCAAATAACGTAGGCCATTAGAGACAATTCCACTTTGGGATGCCGGAGACTTTACATGGATCTGTCTTTCGTACGCAATCACTTATAATAGTGAGGAAAAAAAGCAACGCTGCAGACCACAGAGTGGTTTTCTGAATTCTGAGAAGCCCGTATACTCGGATCTCAGGTACAGACTTCTTCTTAACAGTCGTGGAGATTATGTTGTCGCATACCGTAATTTACGCGAGCAGCTGACTCGATCTAGCATCACGGCATAAACGGTAATGTTCACTTCACGTAGAAGCAGTGCTGATAGGAATTATTTGCAAAACAAATGCCAAAAGAAGGAAATGAACTGTTTTGGTAGCGTGATAGCACCCGTGGCTTCGGGGCTCAGGTGATAATCAAACGCCCTTTGCTCCAGCGAAGCAACGATTGATCTCACACGTCATGTTCATATGCAGATTGATGCTGTTCTGGGGCAATCAACCATGGGAAAAATTTATTCATCAGGCGAATATCTAAACTGGAACTTACAAGCGTATCAGTACAGTGGCTAGGATGTTGCGCGTAGACACTATCTGGAATCAGTAGCAGTTTGTGCAACTTCAACTTGTTTTTCTAGTGAAACGGAACACTGAAATCGTTAAGAAATGCATGAAGCTAAATAATGTGATGAAATATGAGCACCTACACACAAGAAGGTCTAACGCGACAGCTGCGCCGGTACGCTCGGGCGAGCACACCCGAGATATTTTGCGACACTCGATAATAACTTAAGCACGCACCCACAGGTAAAAATAAATGCTGATTGATTTGTGGGGTTTAACGTCCCAAAACCACCATATGATTATGAGAGACGCCGTAGTGGAGGGCTCCGGAAATTTAGACCACCTGGGGTTCTTTAACGTGCGTAAAAATAAATGCTACCAGCAGTTACTCCTATGCGTCCGATACAGATACCAATTGTGGAGGCGAAACAATCACATATTTTTAAAGCAATCACGTGGGAACAATGCAACCTGAAATGCAAGTACGCTGTCGTATAGCTTTCAGAAGCGTGACATGATTGCGAGGTACGCTGCAGAGTAATTGTGGTCACCTCGCATTCAATAACCTGCTGCACATGCATTGTATTCCTGTTCACCATTGTGGGAGTGCGGCTACCGTGGCCGAGAATTGAACCCATCTTCGAAGTAAGCAGCACAACACCATAAAACCCTCATCAAAGCGTGTATGCTGGAGCGCAGGCACCACGCGATTCTACCGACAAGCACGTTTAGTTTTTCATCGTTTTACCAGGAACATGACTGATGCGGCTTCAGTCATTTAATTTAGGCGTCAGACAAGCGAGGAAATCGGCAGATACCACGTACAGTGGCAATCGATGATATGCGAAGCACGAATGAGAAAGGTTGATATGCCACTTTGAAATCAGCACAGCGTTACGAGGTAAAGGCAAATGCTGCCGTACAAGACTTCCGTGTCATGGCTATCATGTTTGGATGTGTCGTTTACCTTCGTCATCTATTCCCGACATGTGATACCAAGTTTAATATATGTGGAGCTAGTGAAACGACCGCGAGCACGCTATAAGCATGGTATGTTGTCATGTTCTTACATGACACGCGTGTCGAGATTTTCATGTTTGCACCAGTCATTTACTTTCGTCATCCATTTACGTCCCGTAACACCAAATTTGGTGTACGGTGAGCTAGAAAAACGGCCGTGAGCGCACCTTGAAGGACCCAATATACTCCTATCTAGCATTGGCGCGCGCGCACGCTGGGCACATCGACGCTACGTCAGCAAAACACCAGCACTCTACAGTCTGAGGATTGGCCGCTAGGGGGCCACGGTGTGCGGACGCGCGTCGCATCGGCTCCGCTGATTTTCTATGGTTTTCGGCGATTTGTTTCCAGCCATTCAGTTCAGAGTATTCCCAAGTGACTGCGAAAGTCCTGCGGTCTCTCTCGATACCATTTGTGCAGGTGAGCCCGTGTTTCAGTCACTTTTCGAAGATTGCCCGTACCGCCACGCTGGCACGACAGTCAAGCCAGTAGACAAGGCACGTTAGGCCTGACAAGTCGTCGGAGCAAGCGGGTGCCCCATCCGCTGCACCGGCGCCCGAAATGGAATTCGTGCAAGTCGAAGGGGAGGAGATATCGCCGACAGAGTTCGGAAAAGAGCAGGGATGGTACGAGATCAAACGAAACACCAAGAAGGCGGGTGGAGACGCCGACCCAGTGAAGAACCAGCAAGCAACGCCAGTGTCTACCGAGAAGGCGGCGTTTATTCAGAAAGCGACGCAGTACGTGCGGAAGATCACCATGACGAGCCGAATGCCCAACCTGCCAACGGATGACTACAAGATCATCGTGCGACCCCGGGATGGCTTCAACGTATCCCACTACCAGAAGGACCGCGTCCACTGCTGCATACGCAACGCTGCAGGGGTGGGGCATGAGGTAGCCGAGGAGGACAGCGTCTGTCTCAATGAGCGACAAAACGTTATTGTGGTAAGCACGCCGTCAGAAGATCGCGCTAGACAATATGGAGGCATTTGCAAGCTGCGAATTGGCGACCGTGAGTTCGAAGCGAGTGCCTACAGAGCGGCTCCGGAGAACACGTCCAAAGGCCTCATCAGGGGCATATCGCTAGACGAAAAGCCGGCGGACGTCGTGAGAAGTCTGGTTAACCACTGCAACCCGAACGTCCTGCATGCCAAGCGCATGGGAAACACGACCAACGTGATAATCCTTTTCGACGGCTACTACGTGCCTCGTTACGTGAACTACGGCGGGATGGTGATAAGGTGCACTCTTTACAAGAAACATATCGGTATGTGCTACGAGTGTGGTCGTCTGGGACACAGGGCCGACGTGTGCCCCAACCCGAACGACAAGAAGTGCCGTGGGTGCGGATGCGGTAACCCGCCCGATGATCATCGGTGCGAGCCGGTGTGCCAACTGTGCGGAAAGGGTCACCTCACCGGAGACCGCAAGTGCAAAGCTAAGTACAAGACGCCCTACCTAGTCAAGCGCCGACAGTGGGAACGCAGAATGCGCGAGGAGGCTGAGGCCGCTTACAGCAGTAGCAGCACCGTCAACGACGGGGAGGAGGGCTACGGACGACGCCACGCACCGAGACGACGTCGCGGCAACAGTCGATCGGCCTCGAGGGAGACCCGCGCGCGGAGCCGCACTCGCTCCCGTACTCGTTCTCGAGCCCGCTCTCGCAGCGTCTCCCGACCCCGTTCAGCGAAGCCTCGCAGCACGTCGACGGCCCGAGCCAACCACACAGCGGCAGCCAAAGGCGGAGGAGAGGTTGACCCCCATAAATTGAGGTGGGTGGACGTCGCCTCCGGACGCGCGCCCAGCGCACCGCTAACGCGAACCGAGACTGCCATTGATAGAAACCCAGATGTAGACAGACGCGGCAGCTCTGCTTACAAACGCAACAGCGACTCAGAAAGTCTAGTGCAGAAACGATTAGATCAATTCGAATCATTAATCCAAGAACTAAGGCAGGAAAATGCAAGGTTAAGAAACAAAATTGCCACGTTGAAGGGGGAGGCCCCGACAGTTCCCTTTCCTCCTCCTCCTCCAATAAAACCCGTCGCAGCCGACGCGGCTGCTAGTACAGCCGAGAGAGTGGAGGAAGTCATGGAGGCTCAAGACGCGCACCCCGCACCCACCAAACGTAGAGCACTTGACCCGGAACAATTCGACGTCAAATCGCAGAAACGCGAGGAGGAACTCCGGGAACGAGTCGATAGACTCGACGACAAGGTAGACGCGATGATGACCCAACACGCGCAGCAAACCGCGCAACTTAACAACGCAATCGCTCAGCAAACCGCACAAACCG